GATCTTTCTTGCTCAAGGTACGTCTTGCTTTCAAGTTTCTGACTTGACTTCAAATTGATATTTGATTAGTTAAGAGCATCTATGTTGAGGGCGGTGGAAGATGCCCTCACACAACTATACTCCATCCTGCAGTGACATCCTTAAGATCTCCCGCATCGCCGTACTGCTATTTGATGCCATTGGTGCTATATTCTATAATCCTCTTTTCACACAGCCACCTGAGTACCGACAGGCACCGACATTCGCCTTCCTTCATTAAGCAAACATTCTGGGTAGCGTGGACTTTTACGGGCATATCATGTAGCTGCATAGTGCAGGGCAAGCAATGCTCACACCAGACATGTTTCTTGAGCAGACGACCGACTTTTTCAACATCTTCTTTAATTCGCTGATGCCCTTTTTCCAGATATCATCAAGACAGCGAAGAAGGTGATCGATGCATGCAACCCTAGGAAGAAGCGTGGTATTGACGAATTGTCAGATGACGAGTCAGATGAGATTCAAGAGAGTGCTGGGAAGCGACAGCGATGCTGATATTACACGATACTACTTGAATTCGCCCCCCTCTTGAATGCTGTAGAAAAAAATTACAAGGTCTCATCTTTTTCATGCCAAAAATGACCTCTTCCTCCAAGGTCCGATCTAAAGTCCCAAAAACGACCAAAATTGGGGGAAAATTAGTCCCAAAAATGATGATTTTGAGATCGAACCTCGAACCCTATTTTCAGGGGGCCTCTCCGCACTAGTTCATTCAGGGTCTGAAGTCTATATCGGGAGCGGCGGAAGGTGGCGGCACTAGCCGCCGTGTGAAAAATTTCCTCGTTAGGGCCTGACCCGACGAAAAAATTGCCCGGAAAAATTCCTTTTTGGGCTTGCCAACGCACAAATTTTGGCCTGTTACACGTTATGGGTGGCAAATTACTGTACTATTACCCTCGCATAACGGGTAACGGGGGCCTGTGAAATGAAGAGTTCATGCTACCATAATGTGTAACGGCCAAAATTGGGCCTTAAGTAAGGCTCAAAAAGGAAATTTTTTAAGGCAGCGGCAATAACCACCACTCCCACCTGTCCATATAAGGAAATTGGACCCTGAATGAAGAGCAACATCTGTGAAGAGTATGCGTAACGAGTAACGCCCCATGAAGACTAGGTTGTAATAGTACAGTAGTTCAGTTCACGACCCGATGTTACTGTAGTGTTTCAACCGTAACTTCATAGCCTGTGACCCGTTATGGTGTGAAGTTATAGCGAACAGCTTCATAGACCCTTAAATTTCCTTATTTGGACAGTTCCGCCGTAGGCAGAACCTAAAATTTCCTTATTTGGAGGCCCGTGCCTGGCCAAAGTGGTCCGTGACCCATTATGATGTATATATAGCTTCACTTCAAAGACCCCCGTGACCCGTTATGTGAATTTGCGGTCGAAACGCTACAGTACGCGTTATGTGAACATCGGGTCGTAGCACTACAGTACGCTGGGTACCATGTTTGCTACTTAGCACATGTTACTGTAGCGTTTCGACCGCAAATTCACATAACGGGTCACAGAGGTCTTTGAAGTGAAGCTATATATACACCATAACGGGTCACGGACCACTTTGGCCAGGCACAAGCCTCCAAATAAGGAAATTTCAGGTCCCGCCATAGGCGGGACTGTCCAAATAAGGCAATTTAAGGGTCTGTGAAGCTGTTCACTGTAACTTCAGACCATAACGGGTCACAGGCTGTGAAGTTACGGTCGAAACGCTACAGTACTCTGACCTAATGAACTATGTTTTCTCAATTTCTGCAGCTACGATACACTTGCATCAAACAGTGAATCGCGAAGCAATCACGAACGAAATTCTCAGTTCGATTTGGAACCGGCGACTCAAATGGGCCGGTCATGTGATCTGTTTTCGTCAAGCAATTGATCCAGCCAGCGTGGGACTTACCGCTCAGACGCTAGCGGAAGGGGGTAGTACTAAAAACTCAGGCTGCCGGATCCAATTCACCGGCAGAGCTCCCTCATCCTGCAACGTACCCGACCACGTAGCTAGCACTACTCATTCAATAGGACAGCGTTTCCGAACCTTGCCTTAGAAGTTAGCAAACGATCAACCCAGATCCTTTCATTAATCCTCTGAGACCACAGACTCTGAAGACGCTCAGGTGTCAACCAACACACGGGAGCATTCTTATTTTCAATCACACGTTCACGTCGCTGGGAGCAAAGGGACTTGTCACTGGGGTTTAGTCTTTAAACCCATTCTCTGTGTTACCGAGTCGGGCATTCACCGCCACACTTAGAGGCTTGTGGAGCTTTCTAACGGACCGCAACCCCTGGAGCCGCGCCTTTCGCGCCGTTGATGACATAAATGAGTTTGGTGGACGACGGGATGATAGCCGGAGGATCGCACAGGGTGGTGGTCGGTGGCGGGCGGCAGTTGGATGACGGGTCCATGTACAGCGGAGAGTAGTATCTTTGTTTGAATTTGAGCACCGGCATCGCAACGAGGGGGCGCTTCGCTTGGTGGCCTAGACTACGGGAATGCGCAGGCGTCGATACATGTGTAGAGTCGCAGTCATTATTGTGATGCGCCGTGTTTGAAGGGGCTTCGGGGTCGGGGATTCGGTGAAAAGGTAAGACTCGCGTTTCAGATGTGTGAGCGTGAGAAAGTAGTGGAACCTAAAATGATGGGGTGGCAAGGGGATGAAAGTCGCACTTGCCATGAGCACGACGACGTCGCGGCGCCCCTCGTTGCGGGTGGATATAGGAATGCGGCCACTCCCGCCACCCCCGAATGCGCACAACAACAACAATGGCAGCAGCAGTATCGCGAGCGGCAGCACGAACGGGACGAGCAGCAGCAGTATCAGTGGAGGATGGATGACGGGCAGCACGCCAGCGACGAGCCCGCCGTCGGCGTACCAGCCCTCGCAACGACCGCTCCCGCAAAGGCCGAAAGTGGGTCCACGGGGGATGCGGACGACAAAGCGCTCACGGTCCGCATCCGAGTCGCGGGCGCAGATCGCTTTTGATGCGTCGAGTGGGTCCTGGGTGGTCGTGCCGCCCGACCACGCTCCGCCGTCGGTCAAGGACAAGGGAAAAGGGCGGGCACGGGATCCACCGCCAGTTGCGCCCCTCAGCATTCGCAAACACAGCGCCAGCTCCAGCCGTCCGCGACCCACGCCCCCCGAATTCGACCTCAACGTGCTCTCTAGGGCACACATGGCAAAGAAGCTGATGGTGCACAATCCAGACGACGAGGAGGACGCCCCTCCACTGCATAAACATGTCATTGTCGAGTATGGCAGCGAGTCAGACCACTCCAAAGAGTCAAAGGAGGAACAACGCCAGAGTTCTCCGTCTCCAGATCCAACTCTATTCCGCTCATACGTGGACATTGTCCCTGCCGTAGAGCGATCACCATCACCCATGCGGTATGCACGCCGCGACTCACTCGATTCGCTCTATTCCCCATCTCCCTCACATCGCAAAGCGTCACCTCCACTCTCCCCCCTCTTCGCAGGTCCTTCACCATCTCCCCACATCGAAGACACCATCATCTTCTCTGACAATCCGTCACCCACGTTAGACGATGACGACCTGCTCGATCTACCGCCACGACGACGCAAGACTCGAGCACGGAGTCTGTCACCCAGTGTAACATCAACATACGCTCCATCATCGCAGTATGCTCCTTCAAACTATGCACCATCCCAATACACACCCAGCATATCCAGCCACTCCTCCCACCCCAACTCTCGCACACACCTCACCTCTTCCCCCAAACCCTCCTTTGACCGCGAACGCTTCGCCCCTTCCTCCACCTCCTCCTCTGCCCCCGCGTTTGACCCGCAGCGTTTCGCCCCCCTGCAGTCCCTCGCGCCTTACAATCGCGGCCGCGATCCCGCCAAAAAGCCACGCTTCCGCGCAAAGGTCGTCGTTCCATGACTTGCTCTCCATGTTGTTGTACTATAATTTATTCCCATACCCAGATGTACATAAATAGACCATACATGCTTGCTTTCATTCACTCTGTCGTTCCTCCCCAAGGGCATCAAGCGCCGATGATACGCATGAATCTTGGACGATCCGCACTTTTTCTTGGAGCGAGCGCTGCGCGTTACCCGAAATTCAATAGACGATCCGGAGATACAAGGCGCTCGCCACGAAACCGGAGATTGCGCGATGCGGTCGAAACACCTAGATGTCTACCAGTCTATTCCTCATGTCAGACCAGACATAGCCTTCTCACCGCCCTCGTCCAGTTCACAGGTTGATCTAAAGAACGAGCGACAGAGAACAGTAACAGAATGAACGACTCGATGATATCTTGTACAAGTACGTATTTGATGACATATGTGCGATGAATTCAGCTGCAAGACTCTCAAAGTCAAGTTTCACGAGACGCGCTGAGACCTCCCCGCCCAAAATTTACGTGGTAGTAGTAGTAGTAGTATTACACCCAGAGGTCCCCAACTGGGCGGCCAACACAGATACATCATGAGCAATGTGTAAAATACCCGAACCCAACAACGAGAGCCTTCGTTGTGTAGCTAATCTGAGCCCGTCGGTGCGACAATGGGTACGGCCCCGCTCTGATGATCAATGGTGCGCGACACGGACGTCCCGCGGCACCATAAAAGGGTCTAAAGAATAACTGCAAGGGCGCGCCAACGTGTGTTGTTCCTTGCAGCGCTCTAACAGCAGCGCACTGCGAGCGGCGGCAACAAGCAATGTCTCAGCTTGGCAAGCAACGTGGCGGGTGCGTCAAAAACCCAGTAGGAAAAAAGCTACCGATTACGCGCCAGACCAAGCCGACGAATGAGGACACGTCTGCCTAGTTGGGGAATGAGGTGTCAAATGTGTCGGTTTGGCAGTGACGATGCCGACGTGTGGATTGTACCCAATATCAGCAGAGACGGCGAGTGTTGACTCGAACGAGTCTCATATGTGAGACATGATGCTTAAGTGTCGTAAGAGAGAAAAAAGTTGACTCATAGTCATCCGGATGAGTCGACCCAGGCTCGAACTGAGGACCTTCTGTGTAATATCCAAAGACACATGAATGTTAGACAGATGCGATAACCAACTACGCCATCGACCCATGAAATGCATTTTCGCCAGTCGATCAGCGCCACACAACGCCAGTATGCCTCACCAACACCACTCAAAATGTCATACATAAAAATAACCTTAAACCCTATATCTGCAACATCGAATGGTATTTAACGAGTGTAGTTAGTTAGCACTGTACCAATCGCAGAGATTACAAATCACAGATATCAAACACGTCGATAAACTAGATGGAAAAAAAAGTGAGAAACCGAGACGGCGCCAGATCCCAAATCGCCGGCGTGAGGAGGAGGGGAATATGTAGAGTATAAAAAGGGAATAGAGCTCGCTCTGTACGGGTATATTGGTATCGGTATTCGGCAGTCATCTACCTCCCACCTCACCCCCAACATAAAAAAAAAAACACCATAAAACAAATGGAAGCACACAGGCAATCTACTTGGCCTGCCCAACGTCGTCTTCAATGTTTACATCGTACGCGCCCCGACTCGCACTCATGGCCCCCGGCCCTGCGGGGATCAACGTTCGCCGACGCTCATTCGCAGGGCTCATCGGCGGGCTCATCACGCGCATGCCTCCAGGTGACGATGCACCGCCGGCACTTCGCCCAGCAGCATATGCACGCAACATCTCATCAGGGCTCATCGCAGAGAACCCATTGTTTCCAAACGGACTCGAGCCGAACGCACTGGTAGGGGAAGTGACCGGAGAAGAAGTAAAGAGTGTCTCGCCACGCATCGCGGCGGCAGGCGGAGCAGCAATGTACTGGCCAACGATATCCTCATCGTCATACATCGAATGCGGGTTGTTGTTGTAGACCGAGCTGGTTTGAATGTCGTATGAAGACGCGCGGCTGCTAGTGTCGGCACCGTAAGAACGCATCACTACCGACAATGATAAGTTTCCATCACAGCCACAAAGAGAAAGTACTTACTGTCAAGAGCAGGTCCAACATCATCTTCTCGACCACCAGCGATGCTGATACGAGCACGGATGGCTTCAGGAGTAAGGCTCTCAGGACCCTCAGTCTGCGTCGGGCTAAGTATTCCGTTATCAAAGCTGTCGTTGCTGCCTTGCCGAGTGGGAACCGGAAGCGGAGGTGCGAAACTCTGGTGGAACGCGCGGCTCTGTCCAACAGTCGACCGCCTAGTCTCACCACTCTTCCGAGTACCCTCTGCAAACGAAACACGAGAAACACGGTCCCCACCGGTGAACTGGCTCTGAGGCCTGAGCTGCGCCATCTGTGGGTCAGCGTCGAACTGTGACGCGGGGCGGATACCGCCAAACGAGAACGAGCTGTTCCTCGGGCCGGTCCCAACAGACATGCTATTCCGAATAGCGGCGCTCGCACCCTGGGCACTAAGCGACTTCCAGTCCGTGGAGATGGTCGACATGCGCTTGTCGACGTGCTCGGTAAAGGCCTTGGATTTCTCCGAGCGCTTCCTACGCTGCCAGCGGATGTACGCATAGACACAGACAGCGGCGAACAGAAGAGGGAAGATAACAGCTGCAGCCACACCACCCTTGGTGATATGGGACCCAGAGCTCTCCGAGGCGGCACCGACAACCTCGACCCCCGAATCGGTCTTTGTGGTATCCGCAGAAGCCGGGGCACCCGAGGCTGGTTCGACATATGTAACGTTGAAGATGGGGCCAGCGGCAAGGGTACTAAGGAATGGACTAGCGCCCCTTTCGACGATACGGAGCTGGAGCTGCACGTTGGGGGCGTTCTTGTACCACCGCTGCATGATGGTGGCATTGTACGAGCCCTCATTGGTGACGCCCTGCCAGATGTTGAGCACGGACGAGTTGAGCGCCGGTGCGTAGAGATAAATGTCGACCGACGACGACGACAGGCACGAGGCCTTCCAGGTCACAGCGAGGGGCTCCAACGAGTCGTACGACTTGCCCGCGGCGGGGGTGCTGTACAGGCCGCCCTTTGCGCAGTCTGCCAGATAATCAGCTACTTGAGGAAAACCCCGTAACCAAGCGGTTGCCCACCAGAATCTGCCCGCTTGGAGGGTGTCCGCTTGCTGCCGGGGCCGTGGTACGCGCCAGCCAAGCCCACACGGAAATCTGCATGTCCCATCTTTTTTTTCTAATATGGCTTTTTCGTAACGAGCGTAATACAGCGAGGTCGCTGAGGGAGGAGGGGGATTGAGAGATCAGAGATGGTGGTGGTTGACCGTTTCAGCAAAGCGTCGTTACGTAACCACGTTTATTAGGTTTTTCGTCACACGCCAAGATCGTGAGCGGGCCGTCGCTGTCAGTGTCGTGGTCGAATAGAGGCAAAGGATTAATGTCCGGGTGCATGTCAAGGGAAGTGGAAGACTTGCGCGTTGGCAAGAGGATTCTTCAATTTCATTTTCCATCTCGAAGAACCCCAAACACTGCGCATTGTGAATGTGAATTGCTCTATTACTTCCAGCATTGACGCCCTTGCGCAGATCATCTCCATTCGCTCCTTTGTCGTACCAGCGAACTGTAGCTCTTGACTATCCTCCTGTTATCACCAAGTCGACGTGTCGAATGTCTTTCAACGACGATTAAACTCCTTTCAGGCGGTCTTATCTTACTCGCTTCGATATCTGGCCGATTCACGTCATAGATTCCCCAAGATCAGTCCCTAATCATTTCGTTAGCATCTAAGAATACTGAACGTTCATCACCAATCACAGTTGGTGGGAGGATAGCGTGTACGTCTACCGTACTTTGTCACACCCAATCCCATCACCACTGTGAATAAAGCTGCAGACCAAACATTCGATTATATACGCGTCGCGGCACTTTCCAGCCTGATTTTCAGGCGGCCGACTATCTTCGCGTCTTCTCACGCTTCAACGTCAACAGATCGCCGGTCTCGCGTCTCTCCGAGGAGGATCCTGCTGTCGATCCTCCGTGGGCTCTGATATACCGAGAAGTTCCTCCAATTCCTCAGTGCGCCCCAGCCAATAGAGCCGCGTGTGGCTAAAAAAACTACAGTCGACTATGCCTATTTACTGACTCGTAGGTTCTCCAGCCTGGACCAGCCGTATGCAAACGGCGGAGAGCTCCTCGGTACCATCACACCTGACCACTTGTCTCATATCCTTCATGGGGGAAAGTCTAGCCGGAAGTTCAACGATGAATTCCAGTGCTTGGACACATCCTCGCAAGGAAGATAATGATATCAATGGTGAAAACATAATCATTCATTGGCTTGAACTTTTCCAGACTGGGAACGACTCGACAGTCCCGGGAATATGTATGGAAACAGTACAATCGACGTGAGCAATTTCGTTGATATCTCGGAGTGTCGGACAGATGAGCTCTGCCGCAGGTTTTATTCGAATGAGGGTCTGAGAACGAGATGTTTGACGGTGTGGGACCAGAAATAGGAAAGTGTTCACTTTATCAGTCATCCTGTGCATTGAACGAATTCGCTCACAACCGCTTGATTAGGTTGACTCGAGCCACTCATAATTCGTCCTTGAGCTTGAGTCCTGGATCTAGCCTGACTCTTTTTTTCCATCAAATCCATGAACTTGCGTATCTCACGTATCCCAGACTTGTGCGTTGCCTTCTACTTCAATAAACGTAGAACTAAGTTTCAAGAATTCCGTTAGACTAATGGACAGCTCAATCTTTCTTCTCTATGCCCTGCTAGCGATATTTAACGAGTCTCGCTTATCCTAGAGCACTGGCGCGTCGTACTTATCTCGACGTCAACACCCTCGACCAGATCGTTTGCCAGTGCCACGTCAGATAATAGTACCTCACTTCGTTGATCTCCTTCTATCCTGTTCCTCGGCGGCTGACTCACATGATCCTCATCGAATCACACTGGACTAGCCAGTGAAGCAGGATGTCTAGCGGCGAGTTCACCCTCTCAGGCTATCAAATGTTACTCACTGCCTGAAGACCTGCGACACCCTGTCCGTGCTTGAAAGGTGTCGTCGACACCAACTTGAAAGTGTACGGAACCGGGAACATACGTGTTGCATAGAGTCTATCAGTTGCCACATCGCATCTACGTCGCATTTGAAGAACTGTCTGGTCTTAGCTTCCGCATACACAATTGGAGAGGGGTTAAGTCCTCGATTTATTCGTTTGATTTACTAGGTAGTACTGCAGACATCATCCGAGGCGGTTTGGACTTACATTGACAACCGGAATGTATGACTCGGTCCTGGACCAGGAAATCTGTGGCGGGCCTCAGGTTCCAACAATAACACAGACCGAACGAAATGCTCGAAATCTAGAAGAACATCGCAGGAACTTGAAGGAACCCTGCGAGACTCGATAGTACAATCAGCCTTGAAAATAATCTCGTCCAGCGATTGTTGTGTTAGATCGTTGTAGTATCCCTGGGGCGACAGATTCTTCAAAAACTCCAGAAGTTGCCCTCCAGTAATATGTTCCGAATCGGCTCGGACTTGATCATACTTTCTCTGCAAGTCTAGAACGTATCGTACAATCTTCTTCGTGGAGGCGCGCTCCCGCATGGACTTAGCCCTCAGAAGGTGAACGATCTGGCAGTCAAAGGGATGGTTCCAGATCACAGTGCGCTCCTCAGCATCACTCATGACATGGTCATTGGCATCTACACCGAGACGTCTGTGTATCGTTTATTGAGACCGTGTAAAGACGCAAGATGTAATAAATCGTACGGTCCACTGTTCGGGTTGTATTCGATATCATCAAAGGCGAGATCCGAAGAAAAAGCGTTACGCAGTGTCGTTTTGGGTCGCACCGGCAATTCGCTATAGGGAGGCGGAGGGTCTTGAGGAAATTGGTGCGCGGACTATTGGGCATATCCTATAAGTACTGAGACTAAAAGAAGGAAACAGTACCAACATATTGCGAGATCTCATTATCAATTATCATGACTAGGTTTGAAGAGATTTGCAGTTGGGAATGTGGCGGCGACAGAACAAGAGGGAGGCAATTGGTTTGATAGAGAAGCAGAGTCGGCGCACCTTTTATACTTATGGTGCGTCAACAGCCCAAAATGGAGGCTATTGTTCCTGGGCTGCGGCGCCTCATGTTGAA